CTGACCTGAGTTATATAGATATGGATGCAAAAGAATGTATGACATGTGGGGCTGGGGAGATAGCTTGACAGCCTAAGTGCCTGCCCGACAAGTGCCAAGGACCCAGGTTCAATCCCTGGTACCACCTGTGTTCTGGGTGTACTGAGCTGGCCACTGAATCTGGGCATAGTTGTACACACCTATAATCCCAGCACTAGAGAGGCTGAGACAGGAGGATCACTACGAGTCTGAGCTGCATATTGAGACCCTGTACCAAATAAATAAAAATGAAAAATGATTTTAAAAAGTATGCCAGTACAATGGAGGAACATTGCTATGTTATGGAGAGATGGACGCCTTCCATGACTGTCAGAAGCAGGATAATGATGTAAAGTAATGCCCATGGTTTTTGATCTTCTTCAGGGATATTCAGATGATTGCTGAAGTGTATCTCGGTGGTAGCACATGTGTGTAGCACGCAAAAGGTCCTGGGTTCAGTCCTCAGTCCATGAGGAGAATGATGTTCAGATGATTTAATGTGTGATGATATTAAAAATTCATTATTTTAAATGGGGCAATAGTATGGTGGACATACTTTTCTTTTTTTTTTTAGAGCAAAACATTTATTGGGGTTGAAAGAAAGCTTTCTGCCCAAGAGAGGGACAGAAGGGGGACCCGAGCAGGTTGCCCCAGAAGCTGTCTCTTCCAGCGATTATTAGAGTGAAACCATGTGGTGAGGCAGGTCTAAGGTGGAGAACATGGGAACTCACTTAGGTGGGCATGAGGTAGGACAAAACTATAGTCAACGAATGAGATTACAAGCCAAAATACTTTTCAAAACTCCTTCTTTTTAAGGATTATATTAAGCTACTTATAGATGAAATGGTGTGATCTTTGATTTATCTTTAAAATGTTGCCTGAAAGGTTGAAAGCAAAAAGTGGAGTGTAAATGAAAGAGGTTGACTATGAGGTGGCAAGTGTTGGGCTCTAGTGGGCGATAAGTGCCTCACAGCCTACACCTGTCTACAATTTGTATGTGTTTAAGGATTTGCATAGCAAAAAGTTAAAACTGTTTTAAAAAATAAAAATGAAGTATTGCATGTTTTTTCAACAATCCCATTCCTGAGTACTTGCCCCAAAGAACTGAAGTCAGGGTCACAGAGAAATATTGCTCACGACAATGCTCCCTGCAGTAGCATTTACAGGAAGCCAAGGGCGGACACAACCTGAATGTCCATGTGTGGGTGGATAAAGAGAATGCGGGCTATATAAATGCACCAGGATATAACTCAGACTTTAAAGCAAAGAATGTTAACATTTGTAAGAACATGATGAACCTGATGACCCTCTGCTAAGTGAGATAGCCCTGTCACAGGAGCATGGATCCTTATAATTCCGCTTAAGTGGGGTAGTTGAGATAGCCAAACTCAGTGAAGCAGAAAAAAGAATGGGGCAGAGGGGCAGAGGAAAGTTGGCAATCATCAGACATAAAGTTTTAGTAATGCAAGACGAATAAGTTCTAGAGATGATTGTTTTGTGTGCTTAATATCTGGTAATAGAATAGGTCTTCTGGTAAGTGTTCTTACTGCAATAATATGACAAAATATGTAAAATTAAAAAGGTTTGGATCATTTAGTAGATCCTCAAGGACTTTTATAAAAGTTGGCACTGCAGCATTAAACTGCTCCTCAGGGCTCTCTCAATTGGGCAGGGAGTGCAGGCGATCAGTCATGGATTTCGGATTATATTTGCTCCTCACCTGGAGTTTTTGTTTACAAGCAATGTTCTGCATTTAACTGGGAGAATGAGAAGCTATCTGGGGAGCGAGTCACACCGTCACTTGGGAGTGATGAGCAGCCTCTCTGTGCAGGCCTGGCTCCCTCGGTTCCCCTTGAGGACACTCACTGAACTTGTTGCTCAGCCCTGATACCACAGGTTCTGAGCAGTCCTGCACTGACAGCTTTCTTTTCCAGGTGTTTTCTTCGCCTTTTTCCCCAGACTCCAAGCTGTGTGTTCCCTAGCATCTGACTAGGATGGAAAGGCCACCTTAGCCCTAATTGTGCAGCCTTTCCTGTCATCGCCAGACACCGCGACTCTATCATTCTTGTTATAAAGACAGAATGATGAGTGAATGCCTGCTCTAACTTTAATGGAGCATTGTCCCTGACTGCCAAGCCCATGGCTGCCAGTGGGTACCCTGGACTTCTGTACCCATTCACACCCTCTCAACCTTCCTCCTCTGCCTCTTCCTCCTGTTTCTTCTCTTTCTCTCCCTTTCCTCTTCCTTTTAGATAGGTGTTCTGTTGAGGATCTGAACTTTAGAAAACCTCAAATGACTCCACTTTGATACTGCATTTGGTATTTCCCAAAGATTTCTCTTTTCAATTAAACCTTCTAGCTATCTTCTTCTTCCTTAACAGAGGGCATGGAAGTAGGTTTCTCTTTCTGCACACCCTGTGTGCCTCTCTGAAAGAAACTGTGAGAGGAATGTCATTTGATCCCTGGATCTCTGAGGTTGAACAAGGAATTAGAAATATCTGGACTCCACTTTAGACCCTAATCTTATCATTCCAAATGTGTACTTAATAAGAAGCAGAATGAGCACTTCAGGTCAGAACAAGTTCAAATGGTCTAGGGTTTTTATGTCAGAAATGAAGGAAAAAATAATTGACTAGAAATATTTAAAAATACTGTTCTTGGTTAGGTGTGTGGTCATTCTCAAACTTGAGATGACAAGTGTGATTAATCAAGTACATAAATTCACTCACTGTTCCCACAGAAACAGGGAAGAAGCTGAATTTCCAACAAGTTCCATAAACAATGAGCTTTAGCTCAACTTTTATCAAATCTTGCTTTAGATTTCTCTTTTTTTAGTTTGTTTTATTGAGAAACAAATATCAGTGAGACAGTTTCAAAGCTGATTAATAGGACAGTTTCAATAATAAATACATTGTACCTTGTTATCTTCTTAGTGGTCATCCATAGTACAAGAAGCAGACAAGATATCCTGTCCAAACACTATTACTACAAATCTTTCTTTTCATTGAATTAAGTGAAAGTAGCTGTAGATCTATCCCAACTATTCTGTATATACAAATACAAAATGGTCCTTCCTTTCTAGATTTCTCAAATTTATGTTTGACTAGTGAATTCTAGGGGGTTAAAAAAGTCAAAAGATTGTTAAATTGCATTCATGTATCTGAGAGCTCATTACAAAGTGTATCTGCCACATAAAAGAGTCTCCAGTAAATCCATCTCACCTGAAAGCTGGCACTGGAGGAAGGAGGAGGAGGGCAGATGAAGATGAGTGTGTCCATTCATAGGTTGTGGATGTCAGGAGCTTATAGAGGTCTAGAGTCTGGGATGGGAGTGGCTAACCTGACTGAGCTTCACCTAGGCTCACCTTCTCAGATGAGCATAAGTGTGAAAACTTGGGACATGGGACAGTTGATTTTGAGGTGGCTAGGTTTCTGTTGATAGTCAAGGTTAAAGCCAAACAGCATGTTCAGCTTTATGGTATTCTATATTTTTTTCACAAGGCCGGACTGGTTGTTCCTTAGCCACAAGGTGGAGGAACTTGGGATCATTTGGAAATTTGAAACCATGTGATCCGTAGTTGCTAAATCAGAGTCTGCTAAGCTTGGTAGAGCCTGGCCCACCTGGGTTGTCTGACCTGCTGCTTTGTATGATGGAGGAGTGTAAGGGTATCCTGAGCCACTTAATCTAAAAACACAGTAGGGGAAAACCAGTCATGTATTTCTAAAGTACAAGCCACAGAGAAACTCTGCTCTAGATGCCTGGACCCAGTTTCCCATCACAAGTCTGCATGTTCAAAATTGTTCTCATTCAGTGAGTCAGAGAGAGGGCAAGTAATTTTCTCCAGATCACACGTGGTCCATAAGTGACACAGGCACCATGCACACAAAGATCTGGTCAGCACGAGACCTGGTACTCTTTTTACTGTCCAGCTTTGGAGAATACAGTCATAGAAGAAACAAGAGATGTTGGTAAGCATTGTCTGCGGCTGGGAGGCTGAGGCACACTGGCTGCAAGAATGGGCTGGGGACTGCAGAAGTTGAATTCTAACTTGAAGTGAGAAGCCACAGAGTGGAATCTAGGACAAAGGAAACCTAAGAACAGGACAAGCTGGGGCATAACTAGATAGCAGACTAAAATACGCCTTGGGAGAAGCAGAGAGGGCATAGGACATGGTGCTAAGTGGCTCAGCCTTTCTCATAAAAGGAGAAGTGGCAAAGTGTAAGGTAGTTATTCTCTGTACAAATTTGGATCACTTTTAGGAAGATTTAAAAAAAATATTCTAGAGGCCAAGTCTATTTCTGTTGTATGCCTTGGGGACGGCACATGTAAGCAGTCTAGTATAAAAACAGCTCCACTTGGACCCTGAAGCCATGATTTGAGGTTAACTGAGCATAACCTGCTAGTACAGCAACTGTCAGTCAAGATTCTGGAATCGAGCAACAGATATGATGGAGCTGGGCCTCTCAGAAAGATATCTGGGCAAAGCTACCTGTCACTCTCCTGGGTCCTGTAGTCCTTACCCCTTCTGTACTCTGCTGAGAACCCTCTTGGAGAAAGGTTTCTCAGGAATGATCAGATTATGTTCTCTTCCTCTAACTGGGTGTCAGGAGGGTCTCTAGTCTCCTGGACCAAAGAAGAGGCATGAGGGCAGAGAAAGCTGAAGGCCAGGGAAATGGAAATGCTGCGTGAAGGACAAATTAGATCTCATGTAACCATAAATATTTCTCAGACCTCCTTATGATGTCAGTTGTCCTTTTTTTATATCCAATAGATGGAAGGGTCATAATAGCTCACTTCTGAGTTGTAGACTGTGATTGGCCTCTAGACTTGTGTGTGGCTAGGAAGACACTACAGTGACTCAGAGGCCCAGTTTGGGAAAAGACAGCATCAAATCCTTATTAGGGTGAGCCTAATAAGTATAGCCAATGCCTGGGCCAGGCTATCAAGTCTGACCTTGCCCTGGGCATATTCTGACTTTTCAGGCGGCGCTCAGGCATGAGGATGGTGACGAGACAGCAGAGCCACCCCCAAGTGGGCTCCGGGATCGACGGAGAGCCAGCCTGTGTTCCAGTGGCACCGGCGGTGAGCACCAGGGCCTGGACCGCAGGAGGAGTCGCAGGCATTCAGTGCAGAACATCAAGAGCCCGTTGTCAGCTCCCGCCAGCCCCTGCTCCCTGTCAGCTCCCATCTGCAAGCCCAGCCAAGTGCGAGATCTCTGTGAAAAGTAAGCACAAAGCTGGAAGTGGGCAGGGGCACTGGGTGCTGCTGAAAAGAGGGAGGGAGGCTGCCAACACAGGTGCCCACCACCATTCCCTGCCCACCAGACAGTCAGGGCCCCTTGTCCTGCTTTCCTCTCTGTCATTAGGCTACCATCCTAGGGGACTTACCTTGCAAGGTGGCCTGCGGTGGTGTGCACAAACTTGGTCTTACCCCATGAACTCACCTTCAGCTCTCTGTGTTTCTGTATGATTCAGTATCTCACTTAGTATCCATTCAGAAAAGCTGTTCAATACAATGAAAGAGGAACCAAAACACAGATCTTTGGCCTAGAAATCAATGGTATCCCACCATAGAAATGGGAGAGGGTAAGACTTTTAAGATATTTGTGGCAATATATGATTGGTTTTAGTTAAGCAGATTACCTTGTATAAATTTGAAAACATTCATCTCTTTGTTTTTCAGTACATAGTAATTCCATCAGTTGGTTGAGTGGCCATTATAGGTTAGGACTGTTCAAAGGCGTGAAGATATGTAAATGGAAAAGGTATGAATTTTGTGTTCATGAACTTCACATTTGGGTTGGAGAAAGAAAGAATGAGAAAGATACATAGGAAGACATAGAAGGATAGATAGTCCTTTAAGAAACTGTATAGATTCAAAATAGGAAGTTTACCCAAATGAGCAGTCAAAGTGGTTCTGAAAAGCACAGGTGCTACCATAAAGATGGCCATGCTGCTTTGGGAGGCTGCGTCCAACTGACTGCTCCCAAGTGGATGCACCAGTTCACTAGGATGTTGAGTTTGGTAGAGCAGTCCACACCATCCAGCCAGGTTCCCAGGAGCTGACTGACCCACTCCTGCTGCTAGCAAAGGGAAGCACTAATCATAGCATTTGACTGGAGCATTCTCTCCAGTCATGGTGATGTTCCTGCAAATCTGAATTAGGTCACTGGGCTGCATGGTGAATAAATAGGATGACCTTAATAAAACCAGCTATTAAAATGGCAAGGAATTCTCCACCATCTTCATTATAAAAAGGTGAGCCACTCACTCTGTCACTTGTAGAATCACATAGGAGTTTTCAAGCCAGGCCAGGAAGGAGAATGTGACCGTGATCTGAGAGTGACATGTAGCATGGCAGGCCCATGTTTACATCCCTTTCCTATCTCCTAACCCTTCATCTACAAATCTTTTCCTGGTTTTGAAAGTCTGTGTGCAGTCTGATTTGTCTTAGTGAAAAAAAAAGACCTCAACCTCCAGACAGGGGAGAATGAAAATATTCATCATGAGCATTGCACTTTTTTTTTTGTTTGTTTTTATGTATTTAGTACAGGGCCTACAGGGTCTCACTACACAGAGCAGACTCCTACTGATCCTTACTGTTTTTCAGCCTCCCAAGCACTGGGATTACAGGTGTGTGCCACCATGCCCAGTCTCAATCATAGTCTCAGCCCACCCCAGGGGTGGGGCCAGCAAGGCATGCTGGAGATCGAACACCCCTGCAACCCCCAAGCCCCACCCCCTGGGCTCCTGAGTCTGACTAAGCAGGCATTTTAATCTGCTGATTTATCTGGCCAGTCCAAGCATTGCATTTTGTGATTGAGGATCTTGAAGAAAACTTAGCCAATGCTCAAACAAAAGGCATCTGAAGCCCCTTCCCAGCACTGTTCCTACTTAAAGGTTTAAGATTTTAACATGGAGTGTTTTGGACAACTCTGCAGTGGGTAGAAAAATCTATATTTAAAACCACCAAAGATGCTGGGGGTTAAGGGAGTACGCCTGATCAACAGTACTACTTTTCTTGCTTTGTCTGATATGTGCCATGTTTATTGATTGCCTATTTCTTGCTGTTACACTTTTCAAAGGACCTTGTGCTGTGAGTTCAGTGGCAGTGTCTTATGATAAGTTGGCAAGGATGATAACAATGAAGAGAACCATCATTGACACTGTGATATTCTCCAAGTGCCTTGGAAGTTCTGGGCTCCTTGGGAATTGAAAGCAAGAGTCCACAGACACTTCTTTGAATGCCAGTTTCATTCTTTTTATTTTTATTTTTTATTATTTTATTTTATTTTTTTTTGGCGGAACCGGGGATTGAACTCAGATCCTTACACTTGCCGGGGAAGTGCTTATTCTACTGAGCCATCTCCCCGGCCCCTTCTTCTTTTTAAATAGGAAGATTTCTTTTTCCTTTTATTAGAGTTATTGTTTTAATATAAAAATTAGCATTGGAGAAAAATGTATTTTCCAGAGATAGAATATATCATGCAGACGGATGATTATGCAGTGAATTCATCCATGGAGACTTAGAGGAGATTGTGTGGGCTCCACAGCCTTGGTGCAATTTTGGCCAGTGTAGAGTTACAGAGGCAAAATGGTGGCAAGATGCAACATGGGAAATGATCACTGAATGCATAGCTTGGTTGCCTGTTCAACATCTCCACCTTCAAAGAGCACTTTACAGTCAGCTAGGCCATTGTGTTCCATCCCCTGAGGACTTGGAAAGGCACAGACACATGCCTGACCTATGTTGTTCTTCATTTTTGTGAACTCCCTGGCCATACTTACTGCTAGCTTGTCACCACATGCCTGCAGATGCCACATGTGAGGAATTTGAGGCTGGGTTTTTATCACTCTGTGACACAAGTGATGCCAACACTTTTGAAAAGAAGGTAGAAATAGGTGAGGATTTAGAAAGGAATTCATGGTTTTTAAAAATGTGTGTGGCATTCTGTACCTCAGATGGTCCTTCTCTATTACTTGAATTTTATTCTCATATTATCCTCTCAGATGCAAGTGTTATTATCCTCCTCATTATACAAGTGAGAAAGCATGCAGGGAGGTGCCCTGTGCCCAGGGCAGGCAGAGGGGTAGGATGACTGTGGGTTAAGCCTGTCTTTGGCCCTTTGATCTAAATGTCAAAGCAGAGAAACCTCCTTCCCAGCAAACCACTCCTAAACATACTCATTGCATGAGATTTATAAGTCAGATCTTTGTAGAGAGAGAAAATGTGATTTATGTACCATGCAGGTATATTTTATTGAGGAAAATACAAAAAATTAAAAAGAAAAATTTCAGTCCCCCTCCAGGCAGGTGTGTAAATGTATGCAGCTACACACTGTCATTCCGATGGTGACTGAGACTCAATTCTCATTGCTTTGCTTTGGTTTCCTACAAAGGAGAATTGCACACTGGGCACTTGCCACTGAAGGTGAGTTTATTGATCACCTGTCTCCTAGGAATCTCTGCATTACTCTGTGCCAGAAGGAGTTTCATCTTTGGACTGAAAATTTATATATCTGATTGATAGAAAAATTTAGGGGATTTCAGGTATTACTGAGAAAATTATTTGGGGCATCTACTTGGCAAAAAAGTAAAATATCTCTTGATTGAAACATCTCTCATTTTAAAAATATCTCTGATTTAAATTTTGATCATATATAATCAATTTATGACTAAAAAAGTTCTGAAAGTTTCTCTAGCTTGAGGCAAGAGCCAAGAGTTGGGGTGGATTTCTAGACTTGGGCTTTGTCTTTTCTGAGCACCCCCCATTCCATCCATATACGTTTCTGTTTGTGAAGAAAGTCTTTGTCCTGAATTTGTAACACCACCCCAGCGCTGTTGCCCTGTTTAGCTGGACTGTTTCTCTGTCAACACACAAAGACTGTATGCCAACCTTTGTGATATTGAAAACCGTATGGAATTTAGCACACAAACTGTAAATTTCATCCTGTTGGTTTCTACACAGCATTCCAGGCTGTTGAGGTAATCTTGAATTTCACTGAATTGCTCATGTTAGCTGCTGTGCCATCCAGCTTCCAGTCATGTGTGTATTTCAGTGTACATGGAAGAGTGGCCTTGCAGGTGATAGACGATGACAACTGATTGGGGAATGAAGGAACAGACTAGTGCCACATGCTCCAGAGATGAGTCTGCAAGCTTCTTCTGTCTGGATCAGTTAGAAAAATGTTAAGCTTTGTGAGTCTGGTGGTCTCTGTTGCCACTACACACTGAACTGTCCTTTTGTGGCACAAATGTTGCCATAGGCAACAGATCAGCAAATGAGCGTGGCTGTATTCCAGTAAGATTTTATTTATGGACACCTAGATTTGAATTTTACATATTATGAAATATTATTCCCCTGATTTGTTTCAACTATAAAGATGTAAAAACCATTCATAGCTCCCAGGCTGTCCAAAACAGGTGGTGGGCCAGAATTGTCCCAAGTCTGAGGTTTGCCAACCCCTGTTCTAGTAGGGTGGTTTCTTGAGTAAATCTGGGTGAAATGGCCCAGAATTAGCAAGAAAGAACATTTGGAAAAAATCCCACTATGCCATGTGAGAGGGATGTAGGAGCAGTGTTCTGAGGTTTGGGGAGAGAACAAGGGAGTCAAAAGAACGTGCTGTGAAGGCAGTGAAATGATAGGTGATCCGATGAGGGCTGACCATAAATCCCCCAAGCAAGTGGAAGACTGCAGAAGACAGGGAAGGGGAAGAGAAGTCAGACAGAGGAACACTTGGAACTAGGTGGGGAAAACTGATCAGTGATGAATCCAGGAGAACTTGGGCTGCTCAAAGGTTACTGTAAACTGGGATTCGACCCAGTGATCCCTTAAGGTCATGGCTCTTAGTCAAGGGTGACTTCCACCCAGGGGACACTGGTATGCGGTTTTGGTTACTGTAACTGAGCAGAGGGTGCTACTGGCATCTGAAGCATGCAGTGAAGGAATTCTGCTCTGGGATGCTCAGGACACCTGCAGGTGAGCGACTCGGTCTAACATCTCAGCAGGACTAAGTCTGGGTAACCCTGGCTTAGCATGAGGCTGGGCACGACTTATAATCTCACCTCTTTGAGATGATGATAAGGTAGAGAAAGCCTTCCCTACTGAAAAGGGAGCTTTCTCACAAACAAATCGACCTCTGTGGATCTGTCTTAAATCATGTGCATGAGTCATAAATATAACAAATCAGTTAAACCACAAGTCTATAGGAATATTTCTAGATGA